CAAATGTATTCAAGCAAAAAAACAAACAAACAAAAAAAAAAAACAGACAACTTATGTTTTATTTCGACCATGTCTTGTCCTCTCCTTGAAAAGTGAAGCAAGGGAATGAGGAGCAGCAGCCTTTGTGTGCACATGCACCCTCAGTTTTAGCCCAGAAAAGTAGAAGTTACTTGATACATTCATGTTTATGTGCTGTCCAGAAAAAGCACTTAAATATTACTGGTAAAATAATATTAGCATTTACTTTTTTTGTACAGTAATACTCATATATAATATAATGCGTATTGTTTATTTAGTAAATTCTAGTAGTTTGAAAATATTTTTTTTGTAAAATTTAAAAGAATAATCAATTAAATGTTACTACACCCAAAAGTTTGTTTTTTCAGTGTATTCTTACATTTTTGAGCATTTACCCAAGGAAAGGGTGTCCCGTACTTTTTGTAATGTAAAGTGAAGATTATCAAAAGGAGGTTATGCTCCACGATGCCCACTTCATGCTGTCTGTGCAGGATGTGGCCAGCTCCATGGGTGATTTATAAATGGCCAGAGGCAGATAAGGAAAGGCATATATGGACTGGTCTTTGCATTCATGTTGCAGAACCCAAGAGTGTCAGTCTCACAAGCTCCTGTTTTAACCCAACCTGGCTTTTCAGGAGGAACTAAGACTTTAAACAAAATTTTGTTGCATAAAAAGGACAAGAAGTGTTGTTTTTGTGTACAATTTACAGAGAAATATGTTCTGAACCAGGCTGCATACAAATTTGTTCAGCATACTCCCCAAATAATTATAAATATGTAAATTAGCGTAAAGGGCTAAGGCACCTTAAAGGCAGCTACTAGCAAGTTTGTCTTCATTATTTCAGTCACTTAATTAGATATGCCCTCATTTCCATGAATGGAAACAACTGACTGAAACTAATAGAAATGTAATAAACATCTCATCACCGCTTTTTGTTTTTCTCTGAACTCCCCTTTTCCTCTGTGGTAATATTTATCTTTAAGTGCTCGACTTTGATGAGAACCAGTTGACACTAATGTCATGGGTGTAGCTGCTTTTTGTTTAATTACAGTTTTGGTTTTAAGCCAAATAGAAATTGGTGAGCCTGGTAACTTGGAAGGAATAGATGTGTCAAACTAACAACTAAAAGGTGATGACATGAGAAACGTAAAATTAAAATGGTATCCTACCTTAAAGAAAGCTGAATATATCATCAATCAGTTAATGAGTTAATGTTAAAATAAAAAAATATGGCATTTTTTGATAATCTCCAGGCAACTCATTAGACGCGTCATGATTTTAGTCCACTTTACCTTAAAATGGAGGCATGAGTCTTATTAAAACAATGTTAGATTTAGTTGTTTGTGCTGCAGATTTTCCTGTGAGCTTGGTAAGCGTTTTAGCCGACACGCAAGCTGTTTCCTGCTAATTGAGTTTAGCTGCTAAATAATTCCACAGTGAGCTCTAGTAATCATATCAGGTGTTTTTGAAAGGCGGATGCAATGATGGATTTTGGCACAATGAATGCAAAGGCACTCAAAAATAAAGTGATTGAAGAGGTCTATAAATTTAAATGTTCATTTGGACTGCATGTTTGTTTGCCTTATTCGTCTTCATTCAGAGAAAATGTGAGAAGGGCTTTTTGCGTTCCCTTGTCAGACGAAACAACTGGCCCTAACAAGCTGTTACCTGCATGCTATGAGCACACTGAGGGATAATGCAACAAATGCTCTTGTCTTGCCATTGCTACATAAAAAATACACACAATTTCAGGTTAATGTTTGGGTCTAAAACAGACTTTTTATTAGCTGGTGCACCCCATAAAATTAAATAAATTGATCAGTCAATCATCCACATGAAGAATACATCCATGAAGCATCTTTGTGTATCCAATCAATTTTTGCTGCACTTTATGTGAAACCACAAATGTTTTTGTTTTGTTTTCATTGTATTTCAGGACCAAAAAAATCCCTTTATCTTTGTATGGCTTTATGCTGTGGCAAAAAAATGTTTGAAGAAAACATAAAACATCTTAAACTGCCATCTTACTTTGACTAAATATTTAAAATGGTTAACAATTTAGCGATTAAACGACTCTACATGGGTCCAGTTGTGAACTTGGTATAGTAAAAGGATACTGTAGTTAATAAATTTWGCAGTGGGGTTTGTAGATGGCTCTTTAAATTAGTTCAGTTTGAAGAAATAGTTTTAATCTGCCCAAACTGACAGCTAGTTCCTCCCAGTAAAGACCACAGTGGATTACTGCCACCTTTAACTGCTGTCAGTTTTGCATTACATGGTTATTTACATAGAATTCTGTTGTTATTTTTAGTGCAGATAGCAGCTAGTTGTAGCCGGTGTTTTTTTTTTTAAGTCCCTTGGATTTTTGACCTTCTTACACAGGAATTGAATTTGAATTAGGGCTGCAACTAACGATTATTTTAATAATCAATTAATCTGTTGATTATTTTTTTCAATTAATTGATTAATCAGCCAAATCATTAAAACGCTTAATTACATGAATATGAGCAGATATAAATTAATTTCAGTCCTGTATAAATTATGGATGCAAGTTATTGATTAATTAATTAATTTGAAGTTAGTTTTATTTAAGAAAATGACTGCTTATCAATTAATTGTTAGTCAATGTATAAAATAAATTGAGTTTTCTCTTGAATTAAGAGGGTCTTTTCATAATAAGGATTTTTTTTTATAATCTCATGAATTAAAAAACAGAAGTACATCATAAACATTTTAAAACAAACAATTTATTTTGCCAGCTGTATTAAATACTGACTGGAAAAAATGTGTATTTCTCATACATAAAACATAACAGAAATTTTATAGGTTGCTGAATGAGGAAAATAGATTAAAAGAAAAAATTGTGATTTTTAGACATAAAACTGAGGATTTTTTATAATTTCAAAAAACAGAAGCACATCA